CCGCTTCTCCCGCTCCGACGAGCTCACCCGGCACATCCGCATCCACACGGGCCACAAGCCCTTTCAGTGCCGCATCTGCATGCGGAACTTCAGCCGCAGCGACCACCTCACCACCCACATCCGCACGCACACCGGCGAGAAGCCCTTTGCCTGCGACTTCTGCGGCAGGAAGTTCGCCCGCTCCGACGAGAGGAAGCGGCACACCAAGATCCACCTGCGCCAGAAGGAGCGGAAAGGAGCGGCGGCCGGCGCCGGGTGCCCACAGCCCGGCGGCGGGAGCGGCGCGGCCCTGGCCCCCTGCGCGGCGCGGACGCGGACGCCCTGACGGCGCGGGGCGCGCAGGACCCAGCGCGGAGCCGCCGCCGAGCGCGGCGGGCGCGGAGCGCAGCAGAGCGGGGCCCGGCGGGGCGCGACGAGCACCTGGTGGCGCCGCGGGGCTCCCTGGGCCGGGGCGGGCCGGAGCGGGCCGGGCCGGCGGGTGTACATAGGGTCTGCGGCGGGAGGATGGATGCATGCAGTGCCGTCGTGGTGAGGTGTCCTTGGTGCCTTGTGTGGTGTAGAGCCCGGTCCCCTGTCTGCATGTGGGGGGTGCCTTACCGATCCGCTCCGACGACAGCGGCGACACCGAGACCGGAAAGTTTTCCCTTCCCTGGTTTTAGTATGGCTGTACATTTCTGCCTATTAATATTGAGATTTTTTTTTTCTTAGAGACTATATTTTTGTACGCACTGGTTTGGGGTTTTGTTTTTGTTTTTCTTTTTGGTGACTTTAAAAGTGTTCCGTTTGTAGTAGGACTTGGGACAGGATGTAAATACTCGGGCTGGGACCGGCGCCCGTGGTCGGCCGGGACCCAGTGCGCCGCAGGTAACACGAATAATGCACAACCACTAACGGGGGCTGGAAGGAGGGGGGGTGTCTTTCTGGCCACTCTGTAAATAAACTTTTCGACAATAGGGTAGGTGCTTACAACGTTTATAAAAGACGACAAATAAATCTCTTAATTATGCTAAATTGACATCTTTATTTCCTTAGGATCCTTGGCCCGACCCAGGCCAGGGTTCCTGGGCCCCGCTCGTTCCTGGGCCTCAGGGGGTCCCGGCGGCCGGGGGCTGCGGGGTAGCTCGGCCTGGGTCCGCTGGGCGCCCCGCACCGCCTCGGCGTGGAAAACCGGCGGCGCCGGCGTACAAACACTCGCTCTAGGGCGCGGGGATTTCCCTCGGAGACGAGAGACGGGATAATATTAACCAGGGAGTGGGGTGGGTTTTTTTGACTCACTCTGTTTTGTTCCGCGGTTACGATCCGCCCCAGGCAGCCTCCGCGAGTGGGCTCCGGAACAGCGAGTACCGCCGCCCCGACGGCCGCGCTCGGGGGAAGCGGCTCCGGCGGCGCGGGGGCTGCGCGGGCGGTGCCGCGCCCGCGCCCGGGGGCTCCGCAGCGGCCCGGGGTGGCGTCGCTCAACCCCGCGGCACAGCCCGACTGCTTCTGCCGAACCCATCTGGCCAAAACATAGCGACTCTATTTTTTTTTTTTTTAACCTGTTTTGGTTATTGTTTTTAAGATGTTATCCCAGCCTCAGCCCACCCTCGGGTCCTGCCATCGGTGCAGGGCCGTGCCGGCCCCATGGGATTGCCCTCTGCTGCAGGGATGCCCGGTGCGGCCGCACTGTAGAAGTGAGCTGTGCAGGATGGACCTCACCACTAATGCCACAGCCCAGCACCTCAGGGCATGGGGGCAAAGCCGCTGCCTGGTGGCTCCCAGTCTCTGCTTCCCCAGTGCCGGGTCCTGCTGCGCAAAGCCCTAGCAGCACCTGCCTTTTCTGTCTGAAATGTCCTGCTCCCCATCTTCTGGAACTGGTGCTGGCTTTTGGGGCAGATGCTCTTTGGAAGCCTGCTTCCCATCTGATTCAGAACAAGGCATGTCGCTTCAGCTCCTGCCGACTGCCTCTTCCAAGCAAAGTTGGGCATGGACCAGCCTGTGCGGGATGGAGACGCCACAGAACAACGCCAGCTCCAGAGCTGCCACACTAACTGCCCCCCCCCATCTACCTCAGCAGCTCAAGTAAGCCTTTGCCTCCCATGTTGCAGCTTTACCACCTGATCCCATGTACTCCTGGCCCCTGAGAGACCATGGCCTGCTGCTCGAGGGATGTCACACGGGAGCTGCAGCCTCCTCGGTCGGCACGGCTGGCCTGCAGGACAGGGAGGCAGACAGGGATCCAGTCCTCTCAGCCTGCTGGGCTTCCGGACGTACCACCACAGCCTCGGATAACAACAGCTCGGTCGTAGCCAGAGCATCATGACCAAAATTGGTATCTCAGCTACCCAGATGCACAATCCAAGACTCCACTTGCATGCTCCAAACTACTGTCTGAAGCCACTCTACAGAATGAAAACCCCAGTCAAATGCAAAAAAAATGAGGTAAACACCACAGAATTTGTAAAAGAGCTGAATTAAGAAACTGCCATTGACCAGTGTACAGCCACAGGAGCACCTCATATGGTGTAGCAGTATCAGCGGTCCTATACCTGTGCTTTGCCTTACAGCGAAAGCCAGCTTCAAAAGCAGCAACAGTGCATGTGCCTGGATTTGCCTGCAAGGCACTGGTGCAGGATTTGGGCTGAGAACCCAGTGCTAAGCCTCACCTCCCAAAGAAAGGCCAGTTGCACTAATCAGACTGTGAGGCAAAAGAAAGTAGTGCTCTGTACCGTACTTGGTTCAGGGCTGTTGCACTTGTGAAGCAAAATAATGACTGGTCAGTGGTGAGATATCCTGTATTTATTCCATAATTCAGCTATAACAGTAATTTTGCTGTTGTGAAAACACAATAACCAGACCGCAGAGAGAAGGAACGGCATTACAGACTTAAACCTTCTGCTTACAGATATCCAGAACGTATGAAGTTTCAAATAAGCAAGAAGTTACAGAGGCGCCTTTTTTTTTAATGCATTTGAGGTTTTCTTTGCTATTTTTCCCAGCTTTTAATACTTTGATGCTAACACCTTAATAGAAAAAAACAAAAAGAAATGGTTTTGCCAGGGTTGTTAACAGCACTCCGCAGCGTGAGGGACCATGCTGTCCTCTTTGGAAAGATGCATTGAAGTCCTGTCCCATTAAACATCTTGACTAGGTTTTACACATGGAGGGAAAAAAATTAAAAACCAAGCAGAAAGACCTAAGGGGGGGATAGCGCAGACAAGATAAAAAATGCTCTCTGTCGCAGTTTGTTTTTCCAGTACAGCTGTTGGCCCGCACCTCGCTATCTTCTTTGCGGACTTCTGAAAAAGGATGATGGTCTTTATTAGCATTGGAGAGAGGTAGAAACAGGCTGTAACACAAGGAGGCACTGCCTTAATGACTACATTCGATTGAGAATTGTTAAACATTAACTAATGCTAGGCTGCAGGTGAATTCCAAGAAAAACAGGTAAGCCATATCAGACACTTAAAAGTGCCCCAAGAATAAATGGAAATCATCTGAAATAATTTCTACCAATTTTTCCTTGCAAAAGAATTATTCCATGCATGCATAATGCTGACTGTATTTCACATTCATTCTTTTGCAGGCCAAAAAAAAAAAAAAACCAAGAAAAAAAAAAGCAGCAATGCCATATCAGAATCATTTAAAAATTCACACACAAGCCACTGTACAGGAAAAACAAGTCTGCTTTTATAAATACACAGAAAAATTAAAGCCAGTTGTGGAATGATTTCTGGAGCAGGTTGGTACGTCACTTAGGAGGTTGGTAATCGTGTTTTCTTATTCAAATTGCCACATCATGAATAAGATTGCCAAGGTTGCCCTGGCCTGGGTTTGTGGTACCAAGTGTGCGTTTAACGAACAGGCACGAGACCAGTCCCTGCAGTACAGACGAAGTACTTCACTTGTAGAAAAAGTTCCTCCCATGTTAGAAAGACTGCATTCCCTGCCATGGACAAACTGCATCTCCAGATCGCTTCCATCATAGCAAGGTGAAATTCCTGGTGTTTTTTCTACTCTACATTTATTTAAAAGCTTTATGAAAAAGTAGTCTTTATAAATAGTATAAAGACGGAAACTGCAAGGCTTCAAAAGCCCAAAGCGTTCTCTTGGCCATATAAAAACAAAGACCACGCTTCAAAGAGAAGACAGCAGGTCACACGTTATCAGTACCTAGGGTATGCACTGCTGTATGTGTAGGGTTTGCAAATACACCATGTTTTTAGAGTGGCTTCCACAACAGTGGAGAGTTGTTTTTTCTCTTATGATGCCCACAGTTTCTGTGACCTTCCGCTGTGTGAGAGGTTCCAAGCAAGGTTAATTAGCAGCTGACTGTCTCCTTCTCCTTGCTGAAGGACATATGCATAGATGCACTCAGTAATTCTCCATTCCAACAGTGAGATCTTGTACACAACACTTTAAATAACTGTTGAAAAGTAACTCTGAATTCGACAGCATCCCTTCAGAGCAGGAATTCCCTCAACTCCAGCCCTGTGGACCACTGGCATTTACTGGAGGAGTGTGTCCTGGCTCAGGAGTTGTACGGGGTTGTTTTTTTGCTAGCGGGGTACAGCTCTTGTTGAGAATCACTCTGAAGACCGAGTCCCCAAAGGCTGCAGCCGGACCAGCCCCTTGCCCAGGCTGGGTGGGCACAGTCCCCTGGCGCACCAGTGCCAGCTGGCTCTGGCAGCAGGAGCCCCTCCGGGGGAAGCCGACAATTCTTATTGCGTTGACTCTCCCTTCAGAGCCTTAATTCCCTCCCCGACGTGCGGCCCTAACTATTTACACAGGATGTCGGATTATTCCCCCGACCCTTCAGCTGAGCAGAAGTTTAACCGCTCTGCTCCCCCACATCGGCCCAAAGGACATAAGCACATTCTGGCGCTTTATTTCCCCCGACTCATGCAGCCCGCGGTCAGCGGAAGGTGAGACCCGCGCAGCTCCGGCCGGCGCGGAGCTCCGTGTGCCCGCGGTGCCGCTGTGCAGGGCCCGGGGCGCGGCCGGGCGGGGGCGGCCGGGCGGGCTCCGCTCCACTCCCTTCCCAGCGGGGCGAGAGCATCGTCCCAGCGGCCGCCGCCCGGCCCGGGCCGCGCTGGCGGCGGCTCAGAGGCAGACGCGGGGCCCGGGGTAGGGCTCGCCCCCGCACCAGAAGTCGGCGGCCTGCGGGGTCTCCACCAGCCACACCTCCCGCGGCAGCGCGGGCGGCTCGGCGCCCGCCGGCGGCCCCTCCAGCAGCCGGTAGTAGTGGCAGTCCCGGCCGTGCTGGGGGTCGTAGGGCGGCGCCAGGATGTCGAGGAAGGCGGCGGGCCCGTCCACGGCGTCGATCTGGTGGAGGTTGTCGGTGTGCGGCGAGAGCAGGCAGGGCGGCGAGGCGGGCGTGTAGTGCTGGCGGGAGCGGAACAGGGCGCGCAGGCAGGGCCCGGAGCCGGAGCCGGCGGGGGGCGGCGGGGCGGCGGCGGCGGCGCCGGCGGGCAGCGTGTCCATGCAGGCGATGCGCAGTGTGCCGTACAGCACCTTCAGCATGCCATTCATG